TGTAGGGACACACAGCAACTCGAGTATAGACACACAGCAACTCGAGTATAGACACACAGCAACTCGGGCAGGGACACACAGCAACTCGGGCAGGGACACACAGAAACTCGGGTAGGGACACACAGCAACTCGTGTAGGGACACACAGCAACTCGGGTAGGGACACACGGCACCTCGGATAGGGACACACAGCAACTCGTGTAGGGACACACAGCGACTTTTGTAGGGACACATAACAACTCGGCTAGGGACACACGGCACCTCAGGTAGGGACACATAGCAACTCGGGTAGGGACATACAGCAACTCGTGTAGGGACACACAGCACCTCGGGTAGAGACGCACAACTCTTCGGGTAGGGACACACGGCACCTCGGATAGGGACACACAGCAACTCGTGTAGGGACACACAGCAACACGGGTAGGGACACACAGCACCTCGTGTAGGAACACACAGCACCTCGGGTAGTGACACACAGCAACTCGTGTAGGTGCACAGAGCAACGATCGGTTGCAACTCGATTGTAGGAACACATACACAAACTGTAAGGGATACACATAGCAACTCAGCTACACTAGGACTATAAAAACAACATCTCGGTTTGGGATTATAAACACAGCAGCTATCGTTTGGTGATAAACAGCGACACAGTTAGGGTTAAACCCCAGGGGTAAACACAACAACCCGGTAAGAACAAACACAGTAACTCGGTTTGAAACACAGACTAACTCGATTAGTGAAACACTGCAACGCAGTTTGGAAGAAATACAGTAACTCGGTTGGAGATACATACATCAACTCCAAGTCGGTTAGGGGTAACACAGCAATTCAGTTCAGGGATACACGCCGCAGCTCGGTTTGGAACAAACTCTTCAAATTATTTTTGTGAAGAAAGAGATGATTGAATAAATCGAGTCATGTGACCCAATGGTTAGATCTGAGTGAAGAATACAATTAATACGATATGGTTGTCGTGAATACTCAGATTGTGTGTTCAGTTGTCAAGGAAACAATAAACGTGACAAGGTCAAAAGTTGAATACATATGTTTTGATGAGGGCATGATGAGACGGATGGTTTCACTGTCACAGCCATGAGGGCGGTGATGTGATAATGACCAATATATCATATTACAATGAATGAATCAAATAGTAATAATACGGTATTCAACACTTACTTAGAAAGTAACAACGATGAAATAAAAGTATTCACATCTGGGAACTGTACACTTGTCTCTATTGAATATGTCTGTCACAATAATGAGATCGGGACATAAAACAATTGCAATGCCTTTAAAGCGTGGTAGTCGTCGCGCTGCGCATGTGCCACATTTGTGTTGATAAACATTGATTTTTCCACAATCCAATGCGCACTTCAAATGGAAATCACAAAGAATGAGGTTTCACCTTTGTGCGACTTGTACTGATACC